CCTAAATTTTATTATTTAATAAATTTTACTAACCCTTTCTATATAAAATATCTTTTATTCAAATTCATTTATTAGTATATTTCTTTTTTGATACTGCGCTTTTTCCTTTTTGCAGATCCACATTAGAATTTGACGCACATTAACGGACAGGATTGATTCAAGTCTATTTTCTATCAGTAACTGTCGACATTGCATTTATTATTCCTGATCTTCTAACGGTGCCCAGAACGAAGATATTAAATTGTGCATCATATTCTGAAAACATGCATTGATTATCTAAAATGTTTCAGTTGGTCTCAACTGAATATATCTAATTTTTCTTTTCATTCTAGACTTGGGATGAACTCGGATCGCGTCACTTGCGGTTTCATGATCTCCGATATATATATATTTAATTTTTTGTTTTGTTTTTTCATATTTTAGCGTAAATACGCGTTACCCATGTTCAAAGTCACTCAGAAATTGAGTGGTAATGTTCATGATTATGTAACGTACAATAAAGCGTTTAGAGGTGAAATTTCTTTATGTCTGAGACTTTTCACCAAACTATAAACTATAAACTATAAACTATAATTAATTGATCAGTTTTTTTACAAACGTTGTTATTCAGATGAAAAAATTGATCGCCTCGTTATTATTGTAATAAGTATGTATAACCAGATTATCAATGACGCTTCGCATTTTTTCAAACATTGATACATTTTTGAAAATAAACGTTTTGCCGTAGGGCCGTAAAATTTTAAGATGTTCTATATTAAACATAAAATTTATAAAAATAAAAATTGTGATGAAAAATAGTGGCTTATTTGATACTAAATAAAAATTTAAAAAGTTATATTAAAGTCAAGTATAAATTTTATTGTAATTATTTAAATAAATTTTGAACATAATTGCATTTTACTTATTATTTTCTATAACATCTAGGGTCTAGGCGATCATGATGTGCAGGGCTGAAATCTGCTTGACCATGTTTTCGTACTTAGTACACTAAGAATCACCAGTACAAAAGTTTTAAGCAATACAGAAACACCGTTATTCAAAAAGTTCACTATCTTTCAGCCTAGTATGTCAATAATGTTTCAGACTGAGGATACTTCCTTGTGGCACCCCAAATTCGATAGTCTAAGCACTATATTCTCATCGGTTCTAGCGTGAAGTAATAAAACATAAACACTTGCATTATCAAAATAATTTTAATTAACAGAAAAGCTCAGATGAGACGAGTTTCAAGTAAAAACATATATCCGCTGCAAATATAAACTATCTATTATTTTTCTGAATTAGATAGAATACTGAATAAGTTTGGCTAGGGTATTTTTTTATAGTTTACGATAAAAACTACTATTAAAGAACATATTTCAGTACATTCAATTATATTTCTTTAAAATAAACAGATAATTTTTATTTCATTTTATTTCAAAAATTTCGAGAAGCAACAAATAAAACATCGATAGTCCTCCAAATTTATAAATAACACTTATAGATATATTCCAACTGATCTGACATCATATGTTTTAAACAGTTTTATTTGTCCAAACTTGTACATACATCATTATCATTGTTGATAACTTGATTACGTTCAAATTCACGATCTAAGCATGTTACAGCAAAAAACATCAGCCAAACACTCGATTATACAAAATAGCAAAGCCACACATAGTCAATTCATTTATCATTACATAACAAAAAAAAATGTTTCATTTTAGTCATTCATATTATGATTGCAATTCAGTTTGTCTAAAATCATGTGAACACTCGACTCTTACTAAGATAATTTATTATAAAAATCCTTGTGATCGACAATAATTAAAAAATAATTTAAAATAGGTTGCAATATAAAAATACCTTATAATAAGGAATAAAATATTAAATTGGTGATGGAATATTAATTGCAATTATCGAGTTGGATATTGCAATAACAACGCCATGTAAGATGTAAGTAGAATTAATATGCCAGAAATATAAATTATTTTAATGAATCAGATTAGTATTTAAATTTGATTGAATTCAAAATATTTTCTAAGAGTGCTATTAATTACTATTAAACTTTAAAGAATTTTCATAAATAAATGTCCACTTTTTGTTAACATAAATTAAATTTTAGAATGTTCGTTTAGACAATATATTCTAGCACTAAACAAAATTTATTAAAATTATAAAAAAAGAATCCAATTTCAAGAAACGGTTTGGCTGACGTCTAGGAAAACTAATGAACTCTTATTCATAATTTATTTGATCGCTTTTTTTGCTTATTGGCATACACTTTTAAATCTTATTTATACAAAATTAGCAACATCAGTAACGATGATCGAACTAGTACGAATTATTTACAAAATACCATCTAAAAAACGAGGCGTATTTTTTAAATTTTACTCACAGTTCAAATGCTCTTGAATACTATGTGAATCAACTGCATAATATACTCAAAAAAATAAATAAATATTACTAAATATGAAGTGAATCTATACAGTAAAAAATCAGTTATAAAAAAAAATTATAAACTTATGTGAGAAAGTTTTTATAATTTTAGTGAAAATTAGTGTTAGTGTTGATAACAAAAAGTATAAAGTATCAAATGTTCAATAGTGCAGATATAGACAGCTTTAGTAATACACATCCACACACACACAAACTCTAACACAAATTTTGATCTCAAACAATTCAAAATCATTTGTAACGTCGATAAATCATGAAATTAGCAAATCGGATTTTCTGGCGAAAACAAAAACTTCTACCCATAATTAATAATTATTTGTTACCTGTAGTTTGATTATATCCACAAGTTTCTCTACAAAAACCATGCTAATAAATTATCATAAAATGATTTGAGAATGTAATTATATATTTATAGCCTTCAGTGAAACTTGCCAGTAATTGTTCTATCTAAACTAAAACTAAAATCAATCTGAACTAGTTGTAAGTGCATTTGCCTTTTTAAGATAAATTGAATAAAATTTCTCAAAGTGAATTTGATAAGAAATCGTAATATTAATTTACTAGTGAATTTACAAGTAAACTATTGCAGATTTTTCAATTTCGTTCTGCCAAATATAGTAGGTAGTAATTGTAAAGTAAAGTTACCGTTTTTGGCACTTATTGCCCCGTATTTTCAGAACGGCTAGACCTGCCTTCGCCAAAAACTAATCAGCACGTCTTCTTATCAATACGAATCGAATGTTTTTTGAATTATTGAAATTGGTTGATCGGTGTTCCCGAACTCGTCGACGAAAATTTGTATCCGCACGCACGCACGCTGGCTCGCACGCATACACACTCACACATACACAAACACATATACACACATACATTTTTTCTAAGGTATGACAAAATGTTCAGAAATCTTTGAAACAAAAAGATACATAAAAATTTTCATTTTCGATTTTTTGTGTGATTACTATAACTTACCCTACGGGAAGTTAAAAGTGTAGAAGTAAAATGGGCTTATAGAGCGACGCAAGAAAAAAGAACTTTTCTGCATGAGGCCGTTGGAAAAATCTACTAGGAAACGATTGTTTTTTGCACGACTTTGTCAAAAACAAAATATTTGGACTAAATGGTCCAGGAGAAAAAGGAATGCAGATGCATCAATGATTTACAATTAATCAACAATAGAAAATTCGGGATGTAAAAGAAGCTCAAAACACAACGGCGTGGGAGCGGAAGTTGGAGAAGCAACTAGTGGTGCATGGCATCGTGTCTGAAAGCAAATTGCTGGAACTTCCCGCACCAAGAATTAAGTTTTTTTGCAAACTTTAAATTTTTTGAAACATTGAGAATTTTGAATTTTTTCACAAATTTAAAAAAATAGACTTTTAAAAAAATTGATTTTTTTATATTTCAAATTTTTTTTTACACTTTGAATTTTCTGAAAAATTAGAATTTTTTTCAAAGCAGTCGTGCTGCGTGACTGTTTTAGACAGAAAATATCAAATGATTGACATCAAATATCAAAGCGCGTAAACATTGATACGGAACCCATAACAATGTAAACAATACTTATATTTATTATTAAAATCTCTATAAAATATCTCAATTCGTGCATATATCTAATGATCATTTTCGACCGCCAGATCGCTTTTTTTCCCACTTTTTACACTCGATCTCTAAAACCGCTAGTAGTCCTGCTTCAGCAAAAATTTAGACGGTACTTAATTTTGTCAATACAAATAAAATATTTTTTGAATTATTTAAATCGGACGCTTCGTTCTCGCAAAAACTATATCACCTGCCTTTGCCAAAAACTAATCAGCACGTCTACCTATCAAAACAATTCGAATGTTTTTTTAATCATTCAAATCGGTTGATCCGTGTTCCCGAAATCGTCGACAAAAATTTGTATTCGCACACACACACATTCATCTTTTCTAAGGTATTCCAAAATGTTCTAAAACCTCTGAAACGCAAAGCGATATAAAAAATTTCATTTTCGATTTTTTGGCGATTACTTACCCTACGGGAAGTTTATAGTTAAAAATGAACTATAAACAAGACAAGAACGGGGAGTAAATTGAATGTGGTGCCATTATATCATAAACCTGTCTCTGGTCAAAGCGCCAATAATAATAATAATTAGTAAAGTACGATACCAAAATTAACTTGACTCGCACATTTATCTCTATTTGACCTTCGTTAACATAATAATCATTCGCATTTTTGTAGCAGATAGCATAATTGTGTTCGTTTTTCTAGTCATAGCATGACAACGCTAAAATTCGGATATATTAAAACACGCAGACTCACAAAAGATTCATGGTCATATATATTTATTATTACGTGACGGACTTGTTCAATTAATTCGTTCTCAGTTGTTTAATAATTGAGGATCGGTCAGTTCTGATGCGCAGTTTGTATACAAACATTCAAATACATGAATTAAATTAAATAAAAGTGATAATGATAATAAATATTAGATGAAAAATAATAAAGTATTAAACAAAATATAGGTGAAAATTGTTACGAAATAGTGTAAATGTAAATTTTACAACGATAGAGTTTGTGAACCGTATAATTTAACCATGTGTAAATAAATAAAATAAAGGATAGATACCTACTAAATAAATCAAAATACAGTATTAAAAGTAAGAAATTTACAACGAGACCATGTAAGTTAAAATATATATCAAATATAAATAAATGCTATTATAATATAGACTCTGGACAACCTGATATCGTGTAGTAGCGATGTCTGTTTTCATTTGAAAATATAAATCAAAAATATGTTTCCATTTTGAAATAGCCCATTAGCAATAGCAAAGAAAAATCTCTCACACTATTTTTTCTTGAATCGTGTTCGAGTTTCAGTCAACTCAGACAGCTACCCTAGTGTAGTACTACCCATTATTATTTTTATTATATTATAATATTTATAAATTTATATTTTACTTTTTCTTAAATATACATAAAATACATTTTAACTGCTTCTGTTTTGTTTGACAAATAAAAATTAATAAATCATATTAGACACTAAATAATTATGTTCAAGTTTCATGAAAATTATATTGTTTTCAATAAAGAGCATTTTAAAATTTTTTAAAATTTTTTGATATTTTCTTCTAATAATTGTTATTTTGAATTAAATATTGACATAAGTGATTTAATAAAAAATTATTGACTCATCCTATTGACTTCTCCTAAATGATTATACTCTAGTTTTGTAAGAGTTAGATTATATTTCTTTAGGAACTACAAATTTTTAGAAAATTTTTGGTTATCAGTATTTTTTCATTTTCTTGGTATAATTGCAAAATTGTTTTTTGTTTCAATTATTAAAAAATGACTTTTCTATTAATTAATTTTTTATTGTCAATTATTTTGATTAAAAAACATTTTTGATGGTATCCTAATTATTTTAATATGATTACATACTCTATATTATTTTAATATGGAAAAATTAATGACTTTATCTTTTAAGTATTAGTAAATCATCAGTCATTTTTTGTACTGAATTTTACTGAAATAATAATAATTAATAAGGATGATTTTTTATAATTTATCAAAGAATGACTTTTTGCAATTATTATATCTTTATTGATATTTTGATTAATTTAGGTAACTAAACGATTTCATTTAATTTTGAAATAAAATTTGGTTTTTAAATGTTGGAAAATTATTTACATATCTTAATTTCCTTTGAACTTTTTGGTTAGTAATATTTAACCGTTTATTTTATTGATATAATAAACAATGATTTTTGAAATTTTATTGTACATAAAAAGAATATCATTAGATTGTAAATACTTTTCCAAGTTTGGGTTTAATAATGGTAATAGTACTGAATAATAACCATTTTAAATTATTGAAAATTTAATTATTTTGAAAATTAGTAAGATGTTGAAATTGGTAAAACAGTTACAAAGTGAAAAAATCTTTTTGAATTTAGTTGATTAAAGATTATTTTTTTGAACTGAAACTACTACTGATAACGTTTTAAAAATCGAATACTTACAAATGATAATGATAACTTTTGAAAGATATATTTTTAGCAAGCACTAATCGCAATATTAATTTATTCAACAACTATAAATAATTATCAAGTTTTTCAGATAATGATTATAAATTGATATATGTAATTTTATCAATTTTGCATAAAATCGTATTCTACAAAGTTGAAGTACCTGTAAGTGATAATTAGTGATAAAGCAGATATGAATATTTAAAATTTGAATATATTATTTATCAAAAATGGTAATTATATATTTTGTTTAAATTTATAAACTTTATAAGCCAAAGCAACAACCGTTTATATTCTTAGAATTAGAATATAACTTTTAATATATCAGTTAAAGATATCGTATCGCATGATATAAATATTTATGATCGTGTAAAACAATATAAAATATATGCAATACATTTTTTTCAATTTCAGCAAAATGATAGCCTTAATATTATTAGGAGCTATTTTACTCTGGGGATTATACAAATATGGAACTTGGAACTATGATAGATTTAAGGGCACGATTGCTCCTTATATAGAACCAGTACCCTTTATAGGAAATTCTTTAAAATTCATTTTAAGACAAGAAGATATGATTGAGAGCATGGGAAGATCATATACAGCGTTTCCAAATCACAGGTAATAATTAAAAAAAAAAACAATATTAGTAAAAATGACAAAACTTATCGTGTATCAACTGCAGATAATACTTATTTCTCTCCACAATTTTTTATTGGAAATTGACAATTGAAAAATTGTAGATTAATTTGAAAATTGTATTTCAACGTACGAGGTCTGTTCAAAAAGTACCCGGAATTTTCGTTTTTTCAAAAAAATATTTATTTATTTGTCTACATTAATGTGGTCCCCTTCAAAGTAGTCCCCCCCAGATATAATACACTTATGCCAGCGTTTTTTCCAATTTTCGAAGCACCCTTGATATTCACTTTTTGATATGTCCTTGAGCACTCTCAGCGATTTTCTTCAATCGAGGAAAACCGCCGTCCTTTCATGGGTCTCTTCAACTTTGGGAATAGGAAAAAGTCACACGGAGCCATATCTGGTGAATTTTTGCACTTTGCAACACTTTATTTCATTTTTTACGCAAAATTTAATACAAATTCTTTGACTTTTCAATTCTTCCATTGTAAAAATCGCCGAGCTCAGAAAAACACGTCGAACCTTAGCGACTACCACAGACAAAGTAAACAGTGAATATAGCTGAAAATTTCATCATACTTTAGGGGCATGTATACCAACACAATAAAAAAAAATTTTGACAATCAGACACTCCAGACCCGCGAAATTTAATTATTAGTAATTCCGGGTACTTTTTGAACACACCTCGTATTTTCTGTATTTAATCACGATCAATTTAATTTTATATTTTACATTGCTATTTTAAAATATTCTAAATTACCTTTGGATATCGTGGCATTAGAAGTTACCATAAGCTATTTATAGGTTGTGTCTAATATCTTTAATTCTGACTTACATGCAACATTTAAAATCAACTCCAATGTTGATTCCGAAAGCTTCAGCATTATAAATTAGTATCGCCTGATTGTAACCTTATATTATTTCTCATAATTGAAAAGTGGTGACTTTATAGATTTGTAGGAAACTTTCAAATGGGCTTACCTTCCGTTCTATTGCGAGATCCTGAACTTATTCGTCAAGTAGCCGTTAAAGATTTCGACAATTTCCCAAACCATCGTGTTTTCTTCGATCCAGCAGCAGAACCGTTATTTGGAAGCAGCCTCTTCGCTCTGCAAGGTAAAATAACTAGCTAAATATATTGATGTAACAAATGATGCTAAGAGCTTTGGATATCTAAATTATGTGATTATTATTTTTTGTAGATCAGAAATGGCGTGACATGCGAGCTACCCTTAGTCCAGCTTTTACTGGAAGCAAAATGCGACTAATGTACGAATTTATTATTGAATGCGCACAACAATTGACTGATCATCTACATGAGGAAGTTAGTAAAAAAGGTAAATGTAGCCAATTTCTATTAAGAAAACATGTATTGACAATCATGTCTGTAAAAAAGTCTCAAAAACACAATAACTAATAAAAACGAAACATTTAACTAGTAAGAGTTCACTTCACTCAGTAAGTCCGTAGGATAACTAAGGAAAACCATTTTTTTATTTTACTCAATATAGATTATTTCGAAGACGATATATCTATTATAGCAAAATTCTAAATTTTCTAAACCATTTTTGTAGTACGATTTATACTTAGCCACAAAATTCGGCTATCATCTCATAATTTGGCAAAAATTTCTTCAGAGTGGGGTGGGGAACAGATCTAAAAAATATAGTGAGTGAGGAAGCTATTCGGAACCCAACTCATGTTTTTTGCCACTAGTCCCGTCATTCAAGCTTAAATTAGGTAAGAATCTCGGAATTCGAGATACCCAGCTGTATACTATAAAATAGCACCCTAGTTGTCTCAAAACCTACATATGGTACGTACACCTTATAATATGTAGGTTTTGAGACAACTTTAAGGGTGATATTTCAGGGTATTTACAGACTTACAGCTGTGTATCTCAAATTCCGAGCAGAACTTACTACAGTCGGTCGACTAAGAGCGTGGCCGACTTTAACGACAGTTAATGAAAGATTTTAGTCTAATTCTTTCGTGAGCCGATAAAGTGAAGCTTTGTCCTTGATGCATTGTCAACAAAGGTTTAGTTGCCGTTGATCTTTTGAGAAAGAATCACGTTAAACGCCATGAGTGCTAAGTTATGCGTCGCGTTACCAGGCTGCGCCCTTTTGCATCCACCCAAATGGTCCTCAATTATCGCAATCAGCTGCTGCCAACATATGAAAATGTTGAAGGCATTTGTACAGAATTCGATACACCTATATAAGGTTGCTAAAAATGTCGATGATTTATCAGAACGTGGTTCAAATAAAAAAGAGGAAAAAAGAACAGTGAATTTGTTTTTGCGGAATCCTGCTTTAACACTGCAGCAAGGACGAGAAAAATGAATTGCAAACTGTTTAGAAATATCTACGAAAATATCTACAAAACTATCTGCATCTTTCTTCGTATTCATGATCTAAAATGGCGCACCACAAGCCTCTGACGACTGAAAAAACATGTATTTCTTTTCCGCTTGAGCACTTGAAAATATTGATAGAGATTTTGAAAATGTCATTTTTACTGATAAAAGTTCTATATGAGCACGTACTGCCCTCATTGAGCCGTTAAATTAAAATACGAGCCGTCAGACTATAATAATCCGTTAAATTAGTAAAAAGCAGGCATCGGAGATGCCAGCCAATTGTCGACTCTGGTGGTGACTGGACACATATTGACCAAATTGCATCATTGCTTGTAACGTGTACAATGCATATATAAATATTAAAGTTTCATAAAATAATTATTTTTATTAAGTAACACGGCCACGCTGTTACTTGACCGACTGTATAATGACTGGACTACACTATTTTCACGAATTTGTGACTTGGTGCGTTGTTTTGATGAAACAGCATTCTTTTAAATTTTTCCAATAACGTCATAGAATAGTCACTGTTGATGGTCTCGTCTTTCTCTAAATAGGTGATAAAGATCACTACTTGCTTATCCCAAAAAACTGACGTCATAACCTTGCCAGCTGATTGTTTGCATTTTTTCTTGTCATCGTGTCTAGTCCGCTCGGCTAACTATCTATTCGACTCCGGAGTGTAATGACTAATGATGAAGCCAGGTGTCATCTTGATAAAAAAAACTCAGTTTTATTTCGATTAAACAGCTCCAAATACTCTTACGAATCATAAACTCGTTATGCTGTTGGTCAAATGTGAGTTCGCGCGGCACCCATTTAGCACAAAGGTTTTTCCTATTCAAATATTCGTGAACGATATGTCCATCGCGTTCCCAGGCAATTTTACTTTTCGGTTTTTCAAAATGTATCGGTGGACTTTTTTCAACATTTTGCGGTGTATCCGCCTCAATTGGCCTTCCAGAGCGTTCAGCATCGTTAGTGTCTTTATGGCCACAATTAATATTAGCGTAACAATTCTCCATCATCTGCCTCGATTAAGCACAGTCCAGATAACACTTATCAAGCAATACTTTGGCAGAATGGTATTTTTACCCATCAAAAAGAAATGACATATCAACCAACGAAATTGCTTTGAATTCATGATTTCGAAAGACTCTAAAGTAGCGTCACTAGAACCTCTATAACTTGTAAACTAATTGTCAGATTGTGATGAAATTGGGACATAAATCTTCTTAAAGTTGTTGCTTACTACAAATCATATAGATGACTACATAGCTACATCATCTATTGGTTATCCTACGGACTTATTGAGTGATGTAATGCCTGGTCGATGATTGTTTAGAAAATGTACAATTTTTTACAACTTGAATAATTGTAAATTTTAATATATATAGTTTTAAAGCAGTTGGTATAAAATATTGCACATTTATCATTAAAGTGCCAAAATTACAATCCACATCCTTTGCCTAAATATATTTAACAAATCCTTCTCTTTTACAGGTACTTTGGATTTAGAAATTAAGGATCTCGTCACAAAATATGCTAATGACGTTATAGCAACCTCTGCATTTGGAATTAAAGTTGATACTCTGAAAGATCCTGATAATGAATTTTATAGAATGGGTAAAAAAGTAACCAACTTTTCTGGAGTATTAGTGAACTTGAAATTTGCCGCCTTCTTGATGATGCCTCAAGTTATGAAGGTAAATTGTTCTTCCTCACAAATAAAACGCACCATCATAATCTTAAATTAGCTTTTAAAGTTTTCATATTTATAGTTTTTCAAAATAACTTTACTCAATCAAGAATGCGGTCAATTCTTCCGTACTTTGGTACATGGTACCATGGATGAGAGAGAAAAACAAGGAATTGTTCGTCCTGATATGATTCATTTACTAATGCAAGCCAAAGAGGAGCATTGAAGCACGATGCAGGAGCAGATGCAACTCAGGACACAGGTTTTGCCACCGTTACTGAATCTTCAATAACAAAAACACCAACTCCTAAGAGAGGTAAGTGGTAAAAACTAACATCAGTAGTAAGTAAGTATTTTGATCTCGCTAATTCAAGACCCAATACACGACTTTGTAATTTCAGTATTATTTTGTAGTCTACTACTTTCTATAACATTTCTTTGAATTTTTGTTTATGATTTTTCCACCTAAACTCAACCAGTTGAAAATTACAGCCTGGTCAAATGACGAGATAACTGGTCAAGCATTGCTCTTCTTCTTGGCTGGTTTCGAATCAATTTCTGCATCAACTTGTTTCATTGCATACGAATTAGCAATAAATCCAGATGTTCAGAAAACACTGCAAGATGAAATAGATGAAGTTTGTGAAGATTTGGAACAATCCAATCAAAAACTAGTAGATTATGAAAGATTGCACAAGATGAAGTACTTGGATATGGTCGTATCAGGTAATAAATCTAATTTTTGACTCATTATTTTTAATTCATAAAGTTATGAATGTTTATTTTAGAGGGTTTAAGAAAATGGCCAGCAGCTCCATTCACTGACAGAGTTTGCGTTAATGGATACTCTTTGGAAGATTATGAAGGAAATAAGTTTGAGGTTAATTAAATTAATACCATCTCATCAAACTGTCAATTAATTGACATTTGGTTTGGTTGTTACAGGTAAAGAAAGGAGAAGCTGTGCTGTTTCCAATATACAATATACATCATGACGAGAAATATTACGATAATCCACATAAATTTGATCCAAGCAGATTTAGTGAAGAAAACAAAAACAATATCAAGCCGTTTACATACATGCCTTTTGGTGTAGGACCTAGAAATTGCATAGGTAATTATAAAAACAATAATAATACGACCTGAAACTTGTTCAAATTCTTTTATATAAACTATAAAAATGATTCTTATGAACTATAAAATGATGCTTTTACTCAACTAGAAATTAGATAAATTTTTATAAATTTATTGAGCACTTTCAAGTCCTAGTTTGAAAACTCTTAGAACCTTTAATTTTCAAACTAAGGATTTTGTATTGAATATCGGTCAATAATTGAATTAATTACTTTTCGAACGATACTTTATCAAATTTATAACAAAACAATATCTTCGTGGTGATCAAAGAAATTAAAATTTGGTCCTAATTTTCTCTACAAAAGATTTACCATTAAATAAAATTTTCGCACTATTTTTACATGCAGGTTCAAGATTCGCTCTGATGGAAATGAAAACATTGCTTTTCAACATTTTGAAAGAATTTGACATAGTGCCTTCTGAAAAAACTCAGATTCCATTAAAACTGGCAAAGGGTTTGATGCAAATGAAACCAGAAAAAGGCTTCTGGGTAAAATTGCAACCACGAAAAACGAGAAAATAAATACGATAGATATAAATGAACGCCTATATTTATAGCATCAGCGAATGAACATTCAAATCTTATAATATCTTATTAATATATTTGTGATATGCTATTCCTATATGTACAATTTTGTCATTTAACATATAAAAAAACTAATATTTTTGATTAGTGAAAGATGTGATTGATATTTTATGATAAATATTAATAATATTTTGCATCTTTTAAATGTATTCGAATACACATGGCTTTTAAATATTCAAGTCAGCAATAAAATACTGCATTTATAAATCTTTGTAAGTGCACACTTATAGTATTAACAATTAGGTCAACATGTAGAGTTTGTAAGTAAATCCGAATTTAGTATACTTAATATTCAGTATTTCAAACAGCTAAAATATATAACTATATTCTTATTGCTTAAATAAGAAAATAGTTTTAATAAAAAAAATGAATTATATTGTTTTATACAAAAACTTTTTATATTTATAGTAAAAATGACGTGTAGAATTCATGTGCAGCAATTACTTGTATGTAATAGCTTTAAAATTAATACATTAATAAACAAAATGAATTATAGTTGCATAAAATTAGTAAGTATTTTTAAATAGATATAGATGTTAAAATTTTCTGTCACAATGTTAGTAGCACATCAATAAATTTATAAATTGTGTTAAAAACTTATCACAAAGCTGAACAATATAAATATTCTACAAGTATTTTTTTAATGAAATTTGATAATTATCCATAGCTTATAATTTGACGCCGAAACTTCAGATTATCTTCGGAGCCCATTTTAGGTCAATTAATATGAAACAAGTTGATAAAAAAGATCTGAAACAAAAAAATGTTAAAGCATTTTTACAACAAATGTAATAAGTGAAAACAAACAATATTTATACACCACAAAACAATAAACAACATTTATTTAATTTACTTATATTTAACTTTGATATCAAAAGACATATCATATTTATTCAATAAAAATAGTTTGTACATTTGTATGAGAAATTAATTAACATGTCTGCTTTAATGTAATACATAAAATTTATTGAACCAATTTCATAAGGTAGAAGTAAATTAGCAATCCGTGTTTACCATTGTCTCGCTAATTTATTTTTAAATATTTGTTGTGTGAATTGTAAAAATAGGTTTAATTTGAATGAGTTTTTGCGTGTTTGATTGATTAATTAATTGATCAGTTTTTACAAACATTGTTATTCATATGAAAAAATGTTCGGCCTCGTTATTATTGTAATAAGTATAACCAGATTATCAATGACGTTTCCGATCATAAGGCCAAACAGTTATCAGCTTTGCAAAGAAACTTTGATTCAATTCATTCATTAAATTAATTATTCCAATGGTCTTTAATATTTTAGTTCCTTCAAAACATATTGGGAAAGTATTGATTAGTTTTAATCCCGTTCTTGTTAAAGTAATCTAAACTAGCTGTAAGTGGAATTCTGTCTTAAGGCAATTAGGGCATCGTGCCTTAAGGCAAATTGCTGGAACTTCCCGTACCAACAATTATTTTTTTTAAAAACGATTAACATTTTTGAAAAAATTTACTTCGAAAAAAATTTACTTTGAAAAAAATAAGATTTTTGAGAAACTATAAATTGGACAAAAAATTACTTTTTTTTTGGAAAAAAAATTTTTTTTTTAAAAAAAAATTTTTTTTTAATTTTTAAAAAAAAAAAAATTTTTTTAAATTTTTTTTTTTTGAAAAAAAAATTTTTTCTTTATTTTGACATATTTTGGAAGATCTGAACTTGTTTTTCAAAGCAATCGTACTGCTTTAACTGCATAGAGACAAAATATAAAGCGCGTAAGCGCGGCGTCGCTGTCTAACGGGTAAACATTGATACGGAACCCATAGGAAAATAAACAAAATTTATACTTATTGTTGAAATCTCTATAAAATATCTGAAAATTTGATGTGCACATATGTCTAATGATCATTTTTGACCGCCAAATGACATTTTTTTTACTTTTTTTGTTAGATCTCCGAAACCGCTAGACCTGCCTTTATGAAAATTTGATCAGTTCTTTACCTTGTCAATACAAGTAAAATGTTTTTTGAATTATTAAAATCGGACGCTCCGTTCTCTTAAAAACTGAGTTACCGTTTTCGGCACTTTTGCCCCGTATCTCCGGAACGGCTAGACCTGCCTTCGCCAAAAACTAATCAGCACGTCTCCTTATCAATACGAATCGAATGTTTTTTGAATTATTTAAATCGGTTGATCCGTGTTCCCGAAATCGTCGACGAAAATTTGTATCCGCACATACATACACACACGCACACACACACACCCACGCACACACACACACACACACACACACATACATCCATTTTTTCTAAGGTATGCCAAAATGTTCAGAAACCTCTGAAACGTAAAAATATATAAACATTTTCATTTTCGATTTTTTTGCGATTACTATAACTTACCCTACGGGAAGTTAAAAATTAAAATTTGGAATAATATGTACGCTCTTAGGACACGATTTATGTATCAGATTTCGTTGTTTTTGTGTCGAAAATACTAAATTCGGCAATTTTGTCATGAATATTGAAACAGGTACTCATAACATTGAGGTTTATTAACAAATCCTTCTCATTTTTTCAAACTTTGATGAATTTAAAAAAATAAACTAGCTGTAAGTGGAATTCTGTCTTAAGGCAATTAAGGCATCGTGCCTTGAGGCAAATTGCTGGAACTTCCCGTACCAAAAATTATTATTTTTTTAAAAACGATTAACATTTTTGAAAAAAAAAATTACTTTGAAAAAATAAGATTTTGAGAAACTATAAATTGGACAAAAAATTACTATTTTTTGAAAAAAATTTTTTTTTAAAAAATTTTTTTTTTAATTTTTTTTTTTTTTTTTTTTTTGAAAATTTTTTTTTTTTTATTTTGACATATTGTGGAAGATCTGAACTTTCTTTTCAAATCAATCGTACTGCTTTAACTGCATAAAGACGAAATATCAAACCGCGTAAGCGCCGCGTCGACGTCTAACGCGTAAACATTGGTACGGAACCCATAGGAATGTAAACCAAAATTATACTTATTGTTAAAATCTCTATAAAATATCTGATAATTTGATGTGCATATGTCTAATAATCATTTTTGACCGCCAAATGGCTCATTTTTTTACTTTTTCCTCCATATCTCCGAAACCGCTAGACCTACCTTTATGAAAATTTTATCGATTCTTCATCTTGTCAATACAAGTGAAATGTTTTTTGAATTATTCAAATCGGACGCTCCGTTCTCTCAAAAACTGAGTTACCGTTTTCGGCACTTTTTGCCCCGTATCTTCGGAACGGCTAGACCTGTCTTCGCCAAAAACTAATCAGCACGTCTCCTTATCAATACGAATCGAATGTTTTTTGAATTATTCAAATCGGTTGACCCATGTTCCCGAAATCGTCGACGAAAATTTGTATCCGCACATACATACACACACGTACATACATACATACATACACACACACATACACACACACACACACATACATCCATTTTTTCTAAGGTATGCCAAAATGTTCAGAAACCTCTGAAACGTAAAGATATATAAAAATTTTCATTTTCGATTTTTTTGCGATTACTATAACTTACCCTACGGGAAGTTAATAACTTTATAACTTTAACATGTTTCCCACTTTTAAAATTACTTGTGTTACTGATGAAATAGAAGTAAGTAAAGATCTTATTATTATACCAGTCATATGACTAGTCTACGAAACCAATTTTCGCATTACTTTATCTAATAACGTCCAAATACGAATGGATTGATTAGAAATCCATTTGTCATTGAGAAACATGATGATTTCGGTCATTCAACAGCAGAGCAGAAAATGATAATTGATTTATCTAATGATAGCCCATTGAAGCAGATGTTTCAGGACGAAAATATATTGTTAAGTTATGGTTACCAGTAAAGGGCGATTTTCCTACTTTGGCAAATAATGCTTTAGAAATTTTATTACCATTTGTAAGATCTTACTTATGTGAAACAGAAAATTCTTATAATAAATAGTTATGTTTGTATGTATATTTTTTATAATACTGTGTATTATTTGGCATAATTTCAGTAATATTAAGTATATTTAAATTAAATTGTTAGAAAAATAAGAAGGGGAGGGGGCGCAATATTTTTTTCATTCGAAAGGGGGGCGCAAGGATGATGATGATGATGATGATAAATTTTATATTTCTATCAATATATGTTACAAAGTCCAGTATAATATTTTATGCATTACTACCCAATAGGTATTTTTGCAATTTATGGATGGTATTTAAGGAAATTTTAATAATCTAGTTACATTTCAATATCAATAATGTTGACAATAAGTGAAAAAAGGAAAACAAAAAAAACACTATTCGTTCAATTATAACTTACAACTAAGATAACACTAAAGCTTAATACTAACTAAAATATATTATTATGAATAAGTGTAACTATATCTTTTCCAAATACTACTGCTCTATCAGGTGGTTTGGCAAAGCGTATTTGCCATACCATATCATGTCTGGTGTGATTCTTCCTAGGCTTTTTATGATTGGATTTGGACTATGTTTGCAATTTTCGAAGAATTTCGCCGTCATGTTGAGTATGGTCTCTTTAAAAGGTTGCAGGTTGGAGTTTTCATGAAGATACTTACTAGATTTGTAGTGTTTCGTAATTGGATCTCTCTGCTCATTTAGTATTAATCGTAATACTTTATTTTGTAATATTTGCAGTTTATGAATATTACTTTTACATGTAGTGACCCAAATTTGTGCCGCGTAGGTGATTATCGGTCTTATTAATATGAGATATATTGTCCTCTTGTTTTTTGAGTTCAGAACACTGTTTCGATGTAGTAGTGATTTTAGTGCGTTCATTGCCCCGTATGCACTACTTAATTTATTTTTAATGTGTTTTGTGAAGGTTAATTTTTGGTCCAGTGTGACACCCAAGTATTTGACACTGTTTTTCCATTCGATTGGTATATTTGTTACTTGTAAATTGTTATATGGAATAC